AGATGCATGATATTCCAAAGGATGGGGGGGGCACAGGAGAAAAGGTTCTTCTCCTAGACCCCACCAGTCAGAATTCCTGGACTGACAGGGTCCACAGCATGCCTCTTCTGCTGGAGCAAGTGAGGCAGGCCAATCCTATAGAGTGAAACAGTTCCTCGGTTTATTATCTGCATTCACGACACTGCTGTATTGCTCTCTTATGCCACAGCCATTTCCAATGGGACTTGTTGCTGCGCCTCTCTTCACCTCCTCAGGTTTCAGTTGCTCATGTTTTCTTCAGGCATGTGCCAACAAATTTTGCCATTTTTATTTCATGGGCTCCCTGCCTGGTCTCAACAGGTTAGTAGTGAAGTAATAATTGGCAGTGTTTAATTTAGATCCCACCTTTTTGCTCAAAGTAACTTATGGCTATTAAAAATAGAAAGTACAAAACATAAGAATACTGTGTTATGCTTAAAATCAAAACAACATTTAAAATAAAGTATCGTTGAAACTAAAGTTCTGCTCAGGTAATAATTACAAGCTTGGTGAATCACTTTGGGAAGTGCGTGGGGTCCATACAAGAAACGACCCTTTCTTGTGTACTAGTCAGATGGAACTCCTGGAAGCAGGAGGAAGGAAGAATCCAGTGAGATACTGGAGCTGGCTTGCAGCAGCCCATTTTTAAATTTTCAGGAATATCGCAACCCATCCGAACCGTGCCACCTTGTGGCCCGATCAACCGTTTGGATGGCTCACAGCACCACAGCTGCATTGGAGCCGGCAGGACCAAATATTTTTCCATTTATCAGCACACACTGGGAAAACCTTCCAGAAGCCTCTCCTGCTGATTTAAGCTGCCTGGCAGGTTCAGAATGAAAGAGATAATCCGGCAAATAGTTGAACTGTTAAGCTGTTTAGGGCTTTAAAGGTCAGCATAAGTACCTTAACCTGTGCCGGATAGTTAACTGGTTGTCATTTCAGATTTTTCAGTATAGTACCATGCAATCTCTGTACCATGTACCAGCAGCCTGGCTGTTGCATTTTGCACCAATTTCCAGACAGTTTTTAAGGACAACCCATAATTTAATAATGTTTTCATATATGAACAGTCCACTCCTAATAGTTAATGGTATCATTAGTGCAACCGGGAGGATTCTGAGGAACTTTTGGGACCCCATTTAGTGAAATGAGCAGGAGTGTCTCTAAATACAGCAGGACAGGTTTGGCATATTCTGAAGTAAATGGAACCATATACTTTACTATTTTAAAAGCATACCTAATTGTCTTAAGCTAAGAAGTTTAACTAATTAATTAACCCAGATGTTAAGTAATCCCCAAATTCAATGCAGTTCTGGAATGAATTAGGAGGTCATTGAATCTCACTATTGCCTATTGAAAAGATTTTTGAAAGCCACTGGTAATATGCAGTTACAAATATTTAAGCAGTATTATTAGTATGTATTGAATTGGAAGATAATGGGTGTGTGGACAATTAGACAGGTGTGTGTGTGTGTGTGTGTGTGTGTGTGGACAACTGCTGGACCAGGCTGGGAACAGATCTCCTGAAAAAAATCTATGTGACGGCAAAGAGGCGATAGTGACATGATGACGATATATAAGATATTAAGTAAAATAATCTGGAAAATAAGCGAATCAAAAGAATATACTACTTTTGTACCCCCCATACACACAACTTTTTCCAGCTAATCAAACACTATTTTAAGCTAATCAAGAGACTTGCTTCAAAGTGTCTATCAAAATCTGTTGTGCTCTAGAGATGTGAAAAAAAGGGTAGAACATTTGTTTATTTATTTTTTCTCCACAAAGAAATCTAGATGACAAGATGTTTACTGTGGGACAATAAAATTCTCAGGGCCTGTGGCTTCTTCAAATTTAGTCATTTCTTGAAATTAAACTGAATTTCTATCCCTCTTGATTTTTCCTATAGTTCTTTTCTACGGGACTAATGATTCTGTCACATTATCGATTGGCACCTCTCTGTTTGACTCCTTAAAATCTGCAAGTCCATAAAAAACTAAATAACACACTTCGCATAATTATATTGGGTTGCATAATGATATATGAGCTTGAATCCAATAGCTTTTATGTTTTTAGTTAGTTTTTCTTGTTTAAATTTTTAAACAGATTTTACTATATCATGTGTCTGATCAACAAATTCTGGTTTTGATCCTGGTTTTATTTGGTGTTCAGACCTCAACATAAATAAAGCAAACAATAAGAAGGCCTTTGACAATCTTGTTTATATAAACAATACAGATAAGTATTTAGGCTCATGAGTCCATCCCTCTGTGAAGTGCAGGAGTCTAAATTAAAGTATCAGAGGACTTCCTAGCCTCTGTTTGAATCATCCATTGAATGAAGGGGAGTTCACAACTTCTCTGGGTAATTGTTCTAACAGGAATTTAGGTAATGTTTTTCTCCAAGAATCAAAAACTTCCTGTGGTACCAAATTAGTTCTCAAGGGTAAAACAAAACTTGTGGGACCTACCAGTTAACTCAGATGGGATAACAGGGCAGGGCAGGAGAGAGGGAGAAGGAGAAGGAGACACTTGTGGTGACTTTCACTGGAGCAGGGGAGACAAAACTTCCCAAAGCCACATCTAAAGTGTGAAGTACACTTTGCATTGATCAATGGCATTAATCTCTGCATTAATGTCTCTGTATGATATAAATTTAGCTTTGATCTTCAAGAATATTTGACCCTAAAATACTATGAAGCTGTGAACTTGAACAACCTAAACTGCGTTCTTTACTTCATAGATTTCTTTTCATACAACATAGAGAAAATATGAGTTTGAGTCACCAGTTACAGACATCTAAGTGAGATAATGGTTTGAGCACTTTACTCAAATTCTTATCTCCTTAGGTTGTGCCAGTGAGATCCATGAAAGGCTGTCTCTTTTTCTACACTCCATTGTGCTGTAGCACAGAAGTAATTTTTTTCCATGTTCCAAGGTCTTATCATATTCTCCATATTCTTCAGGTTTGCTATATTTTGCAAAGTAGCTTTTCTTGCCTCAAATAGATAAACTTTCATACCTATACAGGTTTCCTTGAAGAAATTTTTCTTGCATAAGGGAGAAGGTGGGCTAATTCCTGTCTCCTTTTCATTCCTGACAGTACCACATGGACTCTAGTAGGCTTGGCTTGGCACGTGACTAGTGCAATGGGGTGGAAGGCAATTGCCTTCCATCTGTGTCCTGAAAGGCAGCTGTGCCCCTGTGCGTGCTCAGTGCCCTGAAGACTTCATGCTTTGAGCATTAGCTATGCTCTTTTCAGTCATGTGCAATTCAGGGGGACTGTTCCTGCTTCAGATGGTAGTAATGGACATAAAAACCCAGAAATAGTGAGGCAGATATAGTGCCTGTTCATCCAAACTCTGTGTTCTTTCCCAGCCCTCCTGACATGACTCATTTTCCCATCTTTGGGCATATGTTGAAAGTAGATTGTATAACTACAGTGTGTGTGTGTGTCTCTCTCTCTCTCTCTGTGTGTGTGTGTGTGTGGTGTATGTTTGTGATATAACCACATATCTACATAGTGTAAAAAAATGACCTTTACAAGTTAATCAAATTGGGTTTATTGATGGTTACTGAAAACTGGGCCTCGAGAAGGACATACTGGGCATAATTGCTTTCCACTGAAGATTCAGAGGCAATTTTTCTTGGTTACTTTTTCCTTTTTAATTCTTTTCTCTAAGTTCTGTCATTTTCTTCTCCACAGCTTGCTGCCTCCTTGGTCTAATTTGTCCTGCCGTATGATTTGAGGTCTCTGCTTATCCTGGAAGTGTAACCAGCAAGACGAGATAGCAGGCAAGTGGGAGCCCACATCTTGGCCCAGAACCATGGCAGAAAAATGCAGTGAGGGGTTACTGGTGAGTCTGGGGGATCTCTTGTGGATTCTCAATATTGTGCTTGAGAGGTTGGTATTAAAAAAAGAGAGAGGATGTCTCTTGGCAACTGAGGGAGTCCATAGGATTGGGTGGAGGAAGTGTCTCTTTCAGACTTTTGGCTATTGTTTAAAACATCCAGCCCTTTGTGTGTCTCACCCTCCCCACTTGACTGATTTGGGGACTGGCTGAATTTTGCATTGAGCCTGGAGCTGCATGCTGTATATGAAGGAGCTCTCTGCTAATCACCATTCCCCACCTTCGGTTACCTCCTCTTATCAGAATAGTCCCAGAACAAGAAACAGGATGGGTGGGAAGCTTCCTAAGCCTAATCATGAAAATTTAACCTGAGTATGAAGATGACTAGGGGAAAGAATGAAATACAAAACCTATCCTGAACATAGATCTAATTTATTTAAGAGGTTAACTGTGACAGCATTGGCGTATATATTAAGCAGATAGATAGGAAGTCAGGCTCTGTACTGGGATATAGCCAGACTAGATTATGGTCTGCTAGACCAGTGGTTCTTAACCTTTTTGAATGAATCGCCCCCTTGAGCCAATGAGGAAGTTGTCATCGCCCCCGTCCACCAACATAACCTCTCAATCACAACATAGGAAATAATTCTTCAATTTATGCAAACACTTTTTTTGTTTTTTTTAAAATCGTGATCAGGACATATTGATGCAAATAATTTATTTCCAGTCTTTTTCCCATATCTCCCATATTCTGGCCAATGGCGCGCCACTGTATGGGTAGAGGCTGCTGTGCAATGCGCATGAAGATAAGTGATGCGTATTCACATATGTATGGCGTTCTGTACTGAAGCTAGCTGGGGGAACATTTGAAAACACAATTCAATCCACTAAGAGCGAGTGATCTGATGTTTTTGTATGACAGATATACAGTGATTCACTGTACGAAAAAGTCTCAAAAGTGTCCCCAAACCTCTCGCTCCATCGCCCCCATATCGCCCCCTTATCGTTCCTTCGCCCCCGCGTCACCCCTTTTCGTTCCATTGCCCCCCTGAAAGATGAAATCGCCCCCTGGGGGGCAATATCGCCCAGGTTAAGAACCACTTTGCTAGACTATTCGCATTTTCCCTGAGACTGGAAAATAGGACCTCTGCTTTGCTTCCTTAGTGCCCCTTGATTATGATTCCTGTCCCAAATAGTGTAGACAGAAGAATGCAGGAAGTGCCTTCCCCAGGCCTTACTTCTTCAGAGGTAATGTTACTTCCTCTAGAGTGCTGTAAAGCCACCAAGCATTGCCCAGGAAACAGTCAGTGTCCAGCAGGTGGGAAAAGTTTGGCTCCAGTATGCTGCTATTTGTTTGTGGTTTGGATTTCTACCCTGACAAAGAATGGGGCTCCCAGGAGACGCCTGAAATAGCTTGCACCTCTGCCAGAGGCACCATGCCAGTGTCAGTACTGGAACATGTGGGGGAAGGGAGTCAGATAACTGCAAAACATATTTATGTGTATATAAGCACACAAATAATTGCAGACATAAAGAACACAGTCTCTTTTCTGCAACATTTCACAAGCATTGTTCATTCCTTTGAGCATACTTTTGCGTATGATTTTATGTTTTATCTTCAAATTGAGCAGTATCACATATTATGCAAATATGATTTGCATTCATATTTACTTGCAAGCAATACAGTAATATGCACCACTTCCCTCCCCCCCCATGCAAAAGGACACTTCTCTGCCCACTTTTATGAATCCAGAGGGATATGAATAGAAGAACCGTCCTCTATGCCTCTGCTTTTTAGATCCTCCCTATTCAGTTTCGATTGCTAGGAAATAACACCGATCAGCCAGCATTAATCCATTTGAAAAAATAGACATAAAAAAGTGCTTTTGCTGGTCTGTGTTGTATTGGTTTGATTCCAAACAGTAAAGTGTGTGTGTGAGAGCAGTTGGCTGCTTTGAATGGTTCACACTGCTGTGGAAAGTCTGCTAGCAGAGATTTACAAATGTTTGTGCTTCTTACCCCTGTTGTAGTTCATTGCATTTCTTCTTGTGTGCATGGTGAATATTTTTTCCTTCTCCCTTTTATGCTATTTTTTTCTGTTGTTGCCTAATATTCAGGAGCTCTTTTGAGGTAGCAGTGTACACCCCAGGATAGAAATGAAGAGGATAGGCTAGAACCACAGAACAAGCCCATGTTGCCTAGGCAGCAGCTGCTTTGTGAGTACTGCTGTTAAGAACATAATTGTCACTGTCTGTACTTTCTGCACATTATTTTGCTTGACCTCACTATTTATAGTTCTTTGTCCTAGCCATGTGTACATGTTTCCCAAAATGGCAGCCCAAATGGACTTCTGTATGAGCAGAAAATCTACATGCCCTTTCTCAAAAAAGGGCTTGTCAGCCAGTTGATTGCCTTATCTGTAAATAATAATAATAATAATAATAATAATAATAATAATAATAATAATAATAATAAAGTTGGAAAGGACCTTGGAGGTCATCAAGTCCAACTCCCTGCTCAGGCAGGTAACCCTATACCATTTCGGACAAATGGCTGTCCAATCTCTTCTTAAAAACTTCCAGTGTTGGAGCATTCACCACTTCTGGAGGGAGGTTGTTCCACTGATTAATAGTTCTAACTCAGTGGTTCTCAACCTGTGGGTTGGGACCCCATTTGGGGTCAAACGACCATTTCATGGGGGTCGCCAAACAACGCAGTCCGCCATTTTTTCCCCTTTTCCTTAGCTGTGCTACTCCCTACTCAAGAGAATAGACTCTCTTGAATAGAGTCTAATTCTATTGGCTTTCAAAAGTCAATAGGAATTGTCCAGGCTGTCTCTGCCCTGCTGAGCCCGCCAAAAGTCTCATTCTGCAAACGGTGCTACACCAGTTGAGTAGTCCTCGACTTATGACCAGTTGAGTAGTCCTCGACTTACGACCGGTTGGGGGTCACGGCATTAAAAAGGTTGAGAACCACTGTTCTAACTGCTAGGAAGTTTTCTCCTTAGTTCTACATTGCTTCTCTTGTTCTGAGCAGGACCCTTGAAGTCTGCAGCAGACATAGCCAAAGCTAGTTGCTTGTATAGGCAAGCCATGCAACAAGTGTGGAGTCCCTCAGAGTAACACTTATATTGTAGGTGATGTTCCTCTCAGATAAGTGAACTGGAAGGCAGCAAGTGAAGGCTTAGCTCTGATTCACTTCCCATCTCTATCTACTGTCAGGAGTAGCTGCTTCATTGTATCCAGTAGCAGGAAAAAATGCATCTCAGAATAACACTTACTGCATTGGAAAAAGTGGGCTGTGGGCCATGAAAGTTTAGTATAATATTTAAGACAGAGTTGGGCAGGCTGCAGTCCATACGCCACTTGTAGCCACTTTTAGCTTTTGTTACCAGCCTCTTTTATGAGCCTGTGCTTCCTGGAATCACATTATGGTACATTCTACGCAAATGTGATGGCAAAGCACCAAACCATAACCATCAGATTTAACAATAAATTTTAGCAAAAACAAAAAGAAGATGAAATACTGTTGTTGTAAGCCTTTGTAACACCTAGAAAACTAAAAGGTGAAACCAGAAAATATGGAGCAGAACCAAAAATGCTACGTCACTTGATGACATCACTATATCATAGGCTCTTATAGAGCCTGCACCTGGCATGAAAACCTTTAATTGGTCCTGTGCAACACGTGTCAATGAGTCACTGGGACAGTCATCAAGAGCTTTCTGGGACAGGGAAGAGGCTAATCCCCTCAGTGTGCTACCTAGACATTCTTGAAATAGTATTATAAGCTCATCATCCACTAATACCCTTTCCCAAGATAGATACAGCATCTTATTGCCTGTTGCTGTTTATGAGATACGTAGCCATATAAACTGGTTTAATAAATAAATAAATAAATAAATAAATAAATAAATAAATAAATAAATAAATAAATAAATTTCTTAGAGTCTTCCCTTTAGGGATTGACCATTATTGTTGGTTCCTTATAAGTATCTCTTTCTTATGAATATTTTTTTCTCATTTTTCTTGTAACTTTAAATCAACAAACATGTCCTAGGACAAAATGTTTCAGTGTGAAAACCACAGAGAATTTTCCCAACAGAGAAGACTATTACCGTAGGTGCTCAGATGTGCGTAATAACCTTTCTATTCTTTTTGAAACATTTTCAACTCCTATTCATTTTCTTATGGCCCAGTTGTGACTTGGATTTTGCTTTACAAGTAAATTTTTAGTTATCCAGACCCTTTTCAATAATTCTTCAGTATCTGGATCTTATTAAAACTAATGCTTGACAAAAGGCCCCATTCTGATGTTTGAACATGAACCATGCAGTATAAGATAAATATGAAATGGTGAGGGAGTGCAACATTTGCTTTGATTTCTGAATTTTATTATACTTATTCACAAATCAAGAAATTCGCCTCCTAATTAAATGAACTGTAGCATTTAGATCAGTACTATTATGCAGCCCCTTTCCTTGATGTTGGTTTTGACTAGGGAGCAAAATGGACAAATATTTTGGAAATCATTAGTAACTAGGTTATTAGAATAACACTGCTTTGGGTAACTATTTTAAGCCTATATTATCTTTTCCAACTAAATGCTCTCTAAGATGTCGTTAGGACTGCTGTTAGGAATTCTACAGTCATAATTCCCACAACATGTATATGGGAAGATCCCAGTTTGGAAGGCTATTATGTTGTTATGGAAAACAAGACTGTTCAATGTCAATCAATAACCCTGGGGGTGGGGCTCTTGTTTGGTTCAAGAGCTATAATGATGTGGACTCTCTTGAATATTCACCTGAAAGTCTTCCATCCTAGTGCTAATCAGGTCCAACCTTGTTTAGCTTCCAAGCCCAGAAGAGGTCAGCCACAATAGCAAATATGGGGAATCAGCCAGAATGAATCAGATGACAGGCAGAGTGTTGTGATGCAAGCCCTACATCTTTTGATGTACAGGTAACACACAACAAAGGGATGGGACTTGCATCACAGCAATATGTTTTCTGTCTTGCCTATTTCAACACACACAGACACATATACATACAACCGACAGACACTCTTAGTCTGGCCATTTGCAAGCCATTGTTAAAGCGTGTATTTATTCATAGCTTCTTGTGTGCTTTTGATATTCCCTTTTAATATTTCAAGTCAGATTTTTGCCCCCAAAAACAGAGGTATGAAAATGTTTCTTCTTGCATTTGGCCCATTCACCCTTCTGCTTTTTTTTTTTAAAATGCATTACTTCATTGTCCTTATTCTTATTCACGTAGTCCTCAATTTACAGCTACAACTGGGGCCAGAATTACTATTGCTATGCAGGGTGGTTGTTAAGTGAGTTTACACTTGATTTTACAATCTTTCACAGCATTAGTGGTTAAGCAAATCACTGCAGTTGTTAAATGAATTATGCAGTCGTTAAGCTAATCAGGTTTTCCCCATTGACTTTGCTTCTTGGAAGCCAGCTGGGAAGGTTGCAAATGACAATCCCAGAGGTAGGCAACCTTGGCTCTTTTATGACTCGTGGACTTCAACTCCCAGAATTCCTGAGTCAGCATGGCTGACTCAGGAATTCTGGGAGTTGAAGTCCCCGAGTCATAAAAGAGCCAAGGTTGCCTACCCCTGTCCGATGACCCTGGAATGCTGCAATCATTGTTAATATATGCTGGCTGGAAAAGTGCCCAAATTTTGATCACATGACTGTGGGGATGCCGCCATAGTAGTAAGTGCGAAGACCAGTTGTAAATCTCTTTTTTTTAGTGCTGCTGTAACTTCAAATACTTGCAGAATGAATGGTTGTAAGTCAAGGACTACTTATACAGTGTTAGAATTGCCTACATTTCCTCCAATATAATAAAGTTTTTTCTCCCTGTCTTTGAAAAATGGATTCCTCACAACTGACCACATCATTTTAGTCTCCTAAAATATAGCCAGTTCTAATAAACGAATGAAGTACAGAAAAGAGAAAAATTAGCTGAAGTGTGGCAAAATTTTAAGAATACTTAAAAGTATTTAAGAATACCTCAAATACTTCATTCTTAAAAGTATTTAAGAATACTTCATAGACACAATTACTTTGCAGTATATTGGTCTGGGAATAAGGCCGCACCCTCCCATTTGCAGAACTAATACTAAAAGAGTCCTTATGGCCAAATCAGTTCATCCTGGCTAAAGAAATTGGCTGCTAGATCCAGTTGCCCTACTTGGAGGAGTGAATACAAATCCTGCTGTATCCAGAGAGAAGCTGACATGCTGAATTCAATATTTCTTCCATATTCTGAATAGTGATGGGCAAAAAAGATGATGAAATAGAGAGACCAGGCTTCCAACTAAGCGAGAGTTGAGAGGAACTACAGCAGGCAACAAATCTTTTAGGAAGTCAAAACTTAGATTTAGATAGAATAGGTTGTTCTTATAGCTACAAACATGCATCACTGTTATTATTGTACAGATTTTAACTATTACAGTGGAGCTATCAGTGATAACAAAAAGTGGTTTGAGGCACAGGAAACAGAGGTTTGAATATTTATCTTTTCTGGATGCTGTGCTATAAATCTGAACTTTGGAGCATTTTTATTCCACTTCTTGTTGAATCTTGGACATCAATCCATTAAAAAACTTTACAAAGCATTCCTCTTTTACAAAGTGTGTGTATTAGTGGGAAAGAGAGGCAAAGTTATGATCACCAAATATTTGTTACACTGCAATATTTTTATAGGAACTTTATGCCAGGAGGATAAAAGGAGGGAGGGAAAGAGTTTAAAAAATCTTAAGTGACAGCAAGCGGATTCCAAGACAGATTTCTCTCTACCCCAGTGTACAAATAAGACTTAGTCTTGATGCGGGTGAAGAAGGAGAATACAAACTTGAAACTCAACATTAAGAAAACCAAGATCCTGGCATCCGGCCCTCTCAATTCCTGGCAAATAGATGGGGAAGAAATGGAGGTAGTGACAGATTTTATTTTCCTGGGCTCCAAGATCACCACAGATGGGGACTGCAGCCAAGAAATTAAAAAACATTTGCTCCTGGGGAGGAAAACTATGGCAAATCTAGACAGCATACTAAAAAGCAGAGACATCACCCTGCCAACAAAAGTGCGTATGGTCAAGGCCATAGTTTTCCCAGTTGCAATGTATGGCTGTGAAAGTTGGACCATAAGAAAGGCTGAGCGCCAAAAAATTGAGGCCTTTGAACTATGATGCTGGAGA